TCTCTGCCATTCCCCGGTAATTTCTCGCGAAAAAATAGCACGCGTATTTAATACCACGTTACGCACGCGTGCACTTCCGCCCTCGAAAGCCAGCTATTTATTCCGCGATGGAGGATATCGCGCGCCTCGGTCGCATTAATCCAGATTACACAGCGCGCCTGATCTCTTCGAATAACAACGAGGCTCGCCGCGTTTCCGGCGAACGACTCGGAATAATCTTCTTTGCTTTCGAGATTAAGCCATTAGCATCGGCCGTGTCATTATCAGGATCCAGAGCGTTCACCGCGGCTCACAGAGGGATCACGGGACAATCTCCGTTTTTAAAGCGTCGATAAGGTTTCGATTATCCGATAAAGCATCCAGTCGATTCATCCGGCTATTACTCCCTTCGAATCGTCGTCTTGTTAACGATCCTCCGATAGATCACTACCACTCGCACGGATGGCGCAACGGAGACATGTCTCCTTGGCTGGCGAGCGAAGACATGTCTCATCGGTAGGACGAAATTAGAATTCACGACGCGCGAAAAACTTGGCCCGTTGCGAGGCGGAGTGGAAACTATTAGACGGAAAATACGAGCCTGCCTGATTACCGGGGTACATCTGTCAGCTCGCGGGGGCGGATCTCGCCGCGACGGAAACTCCGCGAGATTTATTCCGGCCGCGGCGACGACCCGCCATCTTTTTTATTATTTCGCGAGAGGAGGATCGATGGTCCCGGTTTCGGAACGGTTATCTGTCTCGCTAAATTTTTTTGTCCTCTTTTCTCCGTTTTCCTGCAAACCGGATCTCTCCCGACGAGCATCCTCGAATTTCGAAGGCGAGTTATCTTCGACAAACGTCTCCTCCGCTTCGCTACTCCGGAGGAATTCTTCCGGGGTAAACAACGGAAGGGTAAACGTCGCTGCCGAGGAAAAAAGGGGGATTCGATCCCGCGATGGTGGAATTCTCTACCTGTCGGGCTGAAATATCCTCAGACATCCTTCACCTTCCGGTTGGAAAAAGGAACAGTCTCGTCGGACGGGGCAGACTCTTTGTCGGGGAAGACTGAGAGACTCAAAGAGCTTTACGAGGTTTATCTTGGAACGAGGTAAACTCGTCGCTGCAACTTCTGTCATATCTTCGTCCCTTTCGCTCGTCCACGATCCACCCCCGCGATCGAATTCGATCGTCGATACCACGGGAAATGGAATCCTGGGCGAGATCGAGCACGAACGGGTAAACGCTTCGTCGCGAATACGTCGACGAACATGGAAGATCGGAAGCCTCGTAGAAGAAGGCTCGTCGCGAATACGTCGACGAACCTGGAAAGTCGGACGCCTCGTAGAAGAAGACTCGTCGCGAATACGTCGACGAACCTGGAAGATTGGAAGCCTCGTAGAAGAAGACTCGTCGTGAATATGTTGACTAACCTAGAAAATTGGAAGCCTCGTAGAAGAAGACTCGTCGCAAATACGTCGACGACCTAGAAGAAGGCTCGTCGCGAATACGTCGACGAACCTGGAAGATCGGAAGCCACGTAGAAGAAGACTCGTCGCGAATACGTCGACGGCCTAGAAGAAGGCTCGTCGCGAATACGTCGACGAACCTGGAAGATTGGAAGCCTCGTAGAAGAATACTCGTCGTAAATACGTCGACGACCTAGAAGAAGGCTCGTCGCGAATACGTCGACGAACCTGGAAGATCGGAAGCCTCGTAGAAGACTCGTCGCAAATACGACGACGACCTAGAAGAAGGTAGAAGACTCGTCGTGAATATGTTGACTAACCTAGAAAATTGGAAGCCTCGTAGAAGAAGACTCGTCGCAAATACGTCGACGACCTAGAAGAAGGCTCGTCGCGAATACGTCGACGAACCTGGAAGATCGGAAGCCACGTAGAAGAAGACTCGTCGCGAATACGTCGACGACCTAGAAGAAGGCTCGTCGCGAATACGTCGACGAACCTGGAAGATTGGAAGCCTCGTAGAAGAAGACTCGTCGCAAATACGTCGACGACCTAGAAGAAGGCTCGTCGCGAATACGTCGACGAACCTGGAAGATCGGAAGCCTCGTAGAAGACTCGTCGCAAATACGACGACGACCTAGAAGAAGGCTCGTCGCGAATACGTCGACGACCTAGAAGAAGGCTCGTCGCGAATACGTCGACGAACCTGGAAGATCGGAAGCCACGTAGAAGAAGACTCGTCGCGAATACGTCGACGGCCTAGAAGAAGGCTCGTCGCGAATACGTCGACGAACCTGGAAGATTGGAAGCCTCGTAGAAGAAGACTCGTCGCAAATACGTCGACGGCTTAGAAGGAGGCTCGTCGCGAATACATCGACGAACCTGGAGAATCGGAAGCCTCGTAGAAGAAGACTCGTCGTGAATACGTCGACTAACCTAGAAAATTGGAAGCCTCGTAGAAGAAGACTCGTCGCAAATACGTCGACGGCCTAGAAGAAGACTCGTCGCGAATACGTCGATGAACATGGAAGATCGGAAGCCTCGTAGAAGAAGACTCGTCGTGAATACGTTGACTAACCTAGAAAATTGGAAGCCTCGTAGAAGAAGACTCGTCGCAAATACGCCGACGACCTAGAAGAAGACTCGTCGCAAATACGTCGACGACCTAGAAGAAGGCTCGTCACGAATACGTCGACGAACCTGGAAGATTGGAAGCCTCGTAGAAGAAGACTCGTCGTGAATACGTTGACAAACCTAGAAAATTGGAAGCCTCGTAGAAGAAGGCTCGTCGCGAATACGTCGACGAACTCGAAAGATCCGAAGCCTCGTAGAAGAAGACTCGTGGCTGACTTCTGCGTGGAGAAGTTCATTCCATCCACCTAATTCCGGGCATGCAGCGTACGGCGAGGCCGGAAAGCTCTCTTTAATTAAAGCTCGCCCTGTCAGCCGCCACGGAGTCGACCGTTTAATTCGGAGGATTTTTAAAATAAACCGCATCGCGCGAGGATTACGCCCGAGTCTATTTCGTTCCGGCTCAGTCTCGAAGCCCTCGCGAAGCTCTCCGCAAGCTCTCGTCGTGAGAGAATATTTAAGAAACGACTCTTTGATTCCGGCCATCCCGTGGTCCGTTTTGCATACGCTTCTGACGTAACTGGCGGATAAAATCCGACGAGGAGGAACCTTTTTGGCAACCGGTATCCCTGCTCAGGGCTGTACTAATTAATCTCGCGAGATCTGCGAAGCGTTTCACATCGACGACGGTGGGAGAAAAATTCGCGGATTCGTGGATTTTTCTTCGGGAACATGGTCTGACACGAGGTTCGAGACGTACGTTTCCTGGATTCCCTATCGCGAACTCGAACGCAAAACGGGAGATCCGAGCGTGAAAGCACGGAATCTATGCGGTCTATAAACCCCTCTCTCGGATACGACGGGGGCGAATATGAAAGCGCAGGAACGTCTGCAGCTCCCGGGCATATTGGGTCAGGATGATACAAAGTTTCGAATCCGTGCCGTTGCTCCAGACGTTGGAACTCGTGGCAGCAAGTACAACGCAGTTTATGCTTCGACCGGTTATCCAAGATGTTCTCCAGCGATGAATTTCCATCATTTGCATTTCTACGAGCAACCAGTCGCGGAAACGGGAATCCATCGACGAACTGGGACGAGTTGCACGTTCCGTGGCAAGTGGATTACGCGAATTTCCGCTGGTAACGCGATCACAGCTTTCCCACTCGGCCCTCCGCTTTTCAACCCTTTATCCTCCGGCAGATTGCACTTTTCACCGGGCTAATCTCGGTCTGCCGCGTCTGGGTCGCGAAGTTGCTCGTGAAAATTGCGGCAACTTGCCGGAAAGGAAAGGGAAAATCCGTGAACGCGGGGGATAAGAGGACGATGATGCAGCAGCGCGTGAATCGAGAACAGACAGACTTGGAATCGGATGCTGGGAATGGGTGCGGGTAACGAGTGGTTCCATCCACTCTCGAGGCAGCTCGACTCCACTCGGCCCAAGTTAGATGGTGTTTCGAAGGCTCCGAACCGAGGAGGTGTGTCGCTTATAACGAGGATCAATCGGAATTCAGCGTGGGGTCTAAGAATACCACGCGTTTCGGTGAACGGAGAACAAGCTGCTGGTTCGAGCGAGTGTCGAACTTGCCTCTATTACCACGCGTCTCCTCAGAGGAAACGGAAACGATGTCGAGTCAAAGGGGACCACGGTTAGCGTTCTATTCATTCACAGTATTTTCAAATTACGATCTCGAAGGATATCGAAGGATCACCTTCGCTTACCGCTCTAGCCTTCGTTCCACGTTGGAAAGGACACCTAAAATCGTGCAATCCCGGGCAAGATTTCGTCGCAAATACTCCCCAGACTGGGATTCGAGAAACGACTGTGAAAAGGGACCGTGTGGCAGCTCGTAAATACGGCGTATGTATCACGCGAGTCCTAAATGGGAGGAGAGGCAACCGAGGAGGGCCATCCGCCTGAAATGGGGGCCATTTTGTCCGCGAAATCTTTATTGAATTCGATATTCCTTCGCGTTGGCTCGTTCGATATCTCTTTACGAGACGTTCGATCCCCTTGGAAATTACGGGAATTCGCCTTCCTGCTGCGTTCGTGGTTCGCGAACACGGATCGAACGATAACGAGGCCCGTCCCTTGGCCGGATCGGGACCGCATCCGCGGGGACCAAAATGGCCGGAGAATTCCTGTTTATTTCACTTGGCCAACTATTTCCATGGCCACCATTCCCGTTGCGTCCAACTTTCACTCTCGAACGCGATACGTCGCTGCCTCTCTGGGCCCCGATGGCTTCCCTCGTCGAACGTTCCGCGTTCGTGGACCCTGGCTTCACTCGAGAGAGTTCGCGAGCAGCCTTCGACAAGGGGGAAGGAGATTCTCGGTGACGAGCAGAGGGTTAATTATCGCGTCCCGGTACTCTCGCTTTCGCGTTTCGCTCGTAAAGCGGCGCCTCCTCCTCGGCCGAGGATGTCCACGGAGCAACGGGGAGAAAAGAGAGGAGAGAGAAAAAGAGAGACTTTATAATCGACTTACTCAGCGTGGCGTTGTTGGCACGTGACTGGTCGGTCTGCGATCTGAGCAATCGCAGCCGATTCAGCTTGCTTTGTTGTTGGTCCAGCCTGTGCCTCAATCTGGCGAGTTTGTCCTGCTGTGCTGGCTCCTGAAACAGTAAACACCGGTCACTGAATACGGGGCTGAATGCAGCGGAATACCAGCCTGGTCCAAAGTGAATGCTGGCTAACGAGCAGGACAGAGAGCGACGACGCAGAGGGCGTAGAATATTTCAAGCCGCTACCAAATAAGAGAGGGCACTCGGCTGTGTTCTCTATGACATTACGCTCCGGCTCCGCGGCCAGCCAGCCTCTCGTTTACCTTGTCTTTTTTATTAATGCCACTCGCGGAACGAGCTTCCCCGGTTAACCGGCTACAAATTCGGACGTTGCAGCAACAAGGGTACAATCGCGTTCACCGTGCCACCGAATCTTCCCTAGGATCCACTCGGAATCCGCCAGACTCTAGCTCATGGTCCATGGCTACGGTAATCCCCGGGGAAGCGTTCAGCGAAATTACCTTTCCCCGTGGAGAGTAAGATTCCCGCGATATGGCCAGCTTCGCCGCATCGCGTACATTGTCGACCGTTAAAAAGTGGCCGGCAGCTTACCAGAAAAGCTGTTCTCTCGGCGCCGTCAGGTCGACGCCGGACCAAAGGATCCTCGACCTAGCACTGAAACTTTCCATCTTCGGTATCGAGCTCGTCTCGTCCCAGGGAATAGAGCCACGTCGGCTGGGATTAGGGCTTTCGAGTCCTAGAAAATCCCGGCTGAGTCCTGTCGCTGCCTACCCCGTATTACCTCGGATCGGTCGCGAAGCTATCGCGTCGCCGGGTGAGCGACACGCGTCGAGACGCGTATCACGGGACTTTTCGGGGGCTGGTTTTATCGGGATGACTGATGAGGCTTCCGTCGCGGAGATAGGAAACAGAGGTGGTTGAAAGAATCCGTCGCGATGTCTCGTCGCCGAAACTTCTCTCGCGACCCAACGAAGCGTCAGGGGATCGCGTTGTCGAAAATAAGGGCGGAAGATCAGAGCGACGGGGTAGCTGCAGCGCGCAGTCAACGCTCTTAATCTCGTTAATATCATGGAAGAAGGGGCTCGTTACACGAGCCTCGAGTGCTGAGCACACGAGGCAAGGAATCGTTGTCCTCGGAAAGAATCCAGCGCGTTACGCGCTTAACCAGAGGGTGCTAGCTAGGGAGTCGAGTGGGCGATGACCTGATTAGAATCGCGAGCTAAGCGGATCCAGCTGAATCGGTGATTTGAACGCTTTCGTCCCACTGCTATTCCGTGTCATCGTTCCATCCACCTTTGACAAGTATTGTGCGCGATTTCGGGACTCGTTTGTGGCCGACGCGCAGTACCCCTAGCTTAACCCATTTGCATCCGAGCGCGGAATATTCCGCGAGACACGACTGTCGCCTATCACCGAGCGCGGAATATTCCGCGAGCTACGACTGTCGTCTATCACCGAGCGCGGAATATTCCGCGAGCTACGACTGTCGCCTATCACCGAGCGCGGAATAATCCGCGAGCTGACTTTTTCCATTACCAGTTGTTAAATATTTTTCATATGCCACAAATCGCGTGTGATCCCTTTTGTAAGCATCTCATCTACATCGCTTCGTTATATTCTTAACAAGTTTCACTTTTATTGTGAAAATCCTTTTAACTGCCATAATGAGTTGGTGCTGATACGCGCGCGGTGATACAAGCTAGTCGTCGGTTGAACGTCGCTGATGTCTAAACACGGCATCTTAAGTAGAGCCATGATGCAAATGGGTTAACCCATCAACTGCCAAATTTCTTTCCTTGAAATTTTTGACTGGGTAAGTTATACATATGCACAAAAGATAGTATAACAATATAATTATATTGAAATTATATTTAATTTTGAAAATATTTGATATTTTTGAGAAAGTCCCAAAGTAGGTATCGTTATAAAATGATCGATAAAATCATTTCAATGAAAAGCAAGAGACTGAGTAAGTAACAAATTGTTACTATAGCCTCTAAATTACATATTTATGCACGGTATTTCATTATAGTGTAAAAACCAAACTAAAAATATAATGCTTCAAGTATGACAATTCTGTTCCCTTCAACTTACACACGAATTTCAAATTTGTTCGCTTATTGTATAGAAACGACGCACAGAATACACACTTTTTGCTACATACAATATTGACTGATATGTATAGAACAAAACTAAACTGTCAGGCGAACCAAATATGTTTTGGCACCGAGTGGTGTACGTAAAATTCCAAAATCCCCGAATGGGGATCGTGGCAGCTAATGGGTTAAGGTCTATGTTGGCTTCGCGAAAGAGATGGTACTGTACTTTCTAGTGTCACGTAGGTATTGGACACGGGGCTTGGAAAAACCCTGCCCTCGTCGTTAAAGGATCATTGGGCAAGTTGGACCTACCCTTGCGGGAAACAGCTCGCTTGGCCGGGCCTCCAGGTTATCTAGCAACCTGGAGGGGACCACGTGGAGATGGAGCTGTAAGCTTTCGTTCGGACCCAATCCACCTTTGACACACCGTGTTCCACTTGGTTCACGATTCCTCCATGGTTCAATCGTTCCTATGCCAGACTTTTCGCCATCGGGTTCCAGGTCGAGGTCACGATTGCCAAAGTTAGCCTAACGGTAGGTGCACACCTGCTGGCTCCACTCGCCTCTTTTCTTCTCGGTCCCTCGTGTCAAAGGGGTTCGACTTTGGCCTCGGTGCGTCACGCGAATTCATCAACGACGTACGATTCGAGTGGTATTCCCGAGGCACACCTGGCGAGCCCCCGGATTCTTTCCTCGCGAGCTACCTTTGACTCTCACACGCGAGGGAACCGGCTACTTTCGCGGAGACTGACAATGCTGGATGGACGTAATTGCCGGTTATCCTTATGCTCGATCTCGGCCTGCTCGAATGATAGAAACCCGCTAATTATTTGCCTCGATCGGGGCAGGTGTTGTCGAGGATCCTTCAGCCATCTCGCGGATACGCCGAATCGCTATTTGCCCGGTAGGCTATTTCCACGGAAAAATGTAATGGTCGGAATGGAACGACGTACACCTTTAACGCGGAAGAGAGCGCAGCCTCGGGAACGAGATTCCGCGAGGACAAACCGCGTTTACCCGCTAATCGAGAATTACGAGACCCCGGCGCAGGCTGCGATTACGCTTTATTACGCGGCGCATGATAGATTTGCCGGTGCCGAGTGGCGCGTGAATGGCGCGGAATCGCGGGAGAAGCGGTCTACGCTGGTGGGCAACTAGCCCTGGACGGTGGATCGTCTCGGAGATGATGAGGCCGAACGGAACGGACAGTTATCCCGTCGATAATAGGCATAAACTGTTCGCCAGTCTATTATTACTTTGAATTATTCATGACGCGGATGTTCTGCTTCTCGTTCGACGGAAGAGTCCCTCTCTCCTGGGCCGTCGCGGCGCAGGGGGACTAGCGTAGCCGATGAAAGTCGGCGATCATTCGGAGATTTTATATCGCGGGAAACGAAGCTTCTTTACGAGCTGTTTTATCGTCGTTCGCCAGCTGTAAACGCCTAAACATTGAATCCTAGCGTAGACTAAGCAGCGTGTCGCTCGACATCGTGTTCCTCCGGTTCGCCACTCGATAGCTCGAGGACTCTCTGCGACCTCGCTCTATGCAACTTTCGCCACCGTTCTCTCGGGGGGTAGTAATGTAATTGGCTGACGCGGAGGGGGTGGTCCGGTGATTTACTGCCCCGTTTCCCGTATCCAAGGAACACGGCCCGTATTACCGTTTGGATGCGAGTCGCGTCCTCGGAGGATCGAGATCGGGGCACACACGCGTGACGGTCGGGGGGCAGGATCGATCGGGGACGGAAAGAGAAAGACAGTCTGGTGTCTGGGCCGCGTTGGGTCGCGACCGGAAGCCGGGCTCATCGATGAGAGGAAGGCGAACGCATCGAGAGCCGGCCAAGACCGAGCGGGAATATTACGGGAGCTTTGTCGAGCAATTTCCAGAACGATTTCCGCATTTAGGTTGGAAGAAGGGGTTCTCTCTCACCTGTGCGCCTCGAAGCACGGCTAGACGGGCCTCTCTCTGCTCCAGGAGGCGCCTTTGCTGGGCAATTTCCCGCTGTTGCCTGGCTGCCATGCTTTCAAGCTCGCTGAGCACCAGCACAGCACCACCCCCGCCCACTGGTAACTGAAACAGGATTAAGAGTACATCAGGAAAAGCGGTTACGAATATCTGCACCGGCTGGAAACTGGTCCACCGTTTGCCACCCTTTGCCTAGAGATTTTCGGAAGGGACAATGCTGGCAGATTCAGGGGTCCAAAAATTTATTTAGACACAGCCTCGTGTTCTATCGTAAATGTTCCTCCGGAGTGTGGCACCTTTCTCGCTCGAAAGTCAAGGCTTTCCGAGTCGTGCCGTCACTTTTTACCATTCCCTGCAACCCTAAAGTCGATGCAAGTTCAACGCCTGATCGAGTTTACGAATTCCAGCTCGGTTCGACGCGACCCGATGATACGATAATCGAGGTTACGCGATAAAATCTCGGTGGATGTCGCGGGGGGCACAGCGTTCTAAATGTCAGCCTGCCATTTCGCAACGACGAGGCGGAGAGCAGCGAACAAGAAGAAGAAGAAGAAGAGGAAGAAGAAGAAGAAAGAGGAGAAGAAGAAGAAGAAGAAGAAGAAGAAGACGTAGAAGAAGGAGAGGAGGTGGAGCTCGGAGGATTACGCGATTTCGCGGGTAGCAGAAACAAATGGAAAAACGGAAGGGGTCCGTCGTGTCAGGGGAGAGGCGTAACGCGGCGGAGAAAAGAAAAAGCGAGACGAAGAGTGGTAGGTCCGGACTGGAGGAGCGTTCGCAGTTCTTTTTGCTTGACCTCGTGCACCATCTGGAGAGGACCGGCCGCCGATACCAAGTAGAATCCCAAGGTCGACCTGGCCCTTCGAATTCCACAGCGACAAGGACTCCCGGTAACCTTCGTACGTCAACGAAAAGGAGCTTGAACATGTCTGTCTCTGATTCTCGCGTATCGTTTTAGGTGCATTCTCCAGCCTCGTCGCGGCTCTCGCGAGTCCATTTCTCTCCGCCTGTTTAATCGGGGCGGTCGAGAATGTCAAAAGACACTTTACGCCGCGGGGATGAAGCGTCGGAGAGGCTGCAGGCCTCCAAGAGGATCGACGAGGATCGACGAGGATCGACGCGGCCACTAAATGGCCCAGAGTGGAATTCTTTTTGGTAAACGGCGAGCCTCGGGCGAAGGCGAAGCGCAACGATTTGAATAACTCGAAGCATCTAGATGCTCGAAATTCCATTCTGCCATCCGTTCGGTTTAGAGCAGTCGGTCTCTCGCTGCCGCGACGTTCGCGATTAAACGTCTGCCAGTTCCACGGAATCAAATTGTACGCGCCCCCTTTAATTCGAATTTCAATCTCCCGGTGCGTTTTCCTTAACGAACGACTCGTCGGGCAAATAAAATTTCGCCCGGATAGACGGGAACACGCTGAAGCGAGAGCGGCGCGCGAGACGCCACTGGACACTGCTAACCCAGATTACGTCCAACAGGACGAGTTCCTTTTAATGCTTCCTAGTCGAAACCCGCGCGCTTGCCTCTCGACTCGTCGTTCGTCAAAGTTAATCCAGGCCCAACTCGGGTTAGCGGTTTCGAGTATCGTTGCGCCGCAGTGGCTTCGGAATTTATAATTCCCGACGAGAAACATCGTCGGCCCCGTGTCGCTTTGGCCGAGCGAACGAGTCCCGATTCACGGGGAAAACCCTCGCGTGCATCCGACGTTGAATTATTAACGGATAGTTTAGCGATGGTCGGTGATTGTAGCCGGATCGGTTCGAAATGATGGGTAAATAAGGAAAGGTAGGCGGTTCCGCGTGGCTTTTGTTGCTCGTTCCGCGTTCACCGCACGTTCGAGGCGTCATTAACGCGAGAAGCCGGCTATTAGCGCTGCAATTGATCGACATGGTCGCTGGATCGAGTCATTCCTCCATGTTCCACCTCGGCCCGCCGCGAAAATCCCGGAAACCCGCACTCCTCCTCCGTCCCAAGTTAGGGGTAATCTTTAATGCAAAGGATCGCCGGAGAACGGAAAATCGAGGGAACTTCTCCCGTGCTCGTTAACCGACGATTCAATTTTCTCGATGCCGCTGTCCCGACGATACCCTCCCGTTAATCCCAATTCGATTACTTTGCACTTTGATAACCACGAAAGTTATCTCCTTCCTTGCTTCTTAGACCTCTATAGCCTCTTCGTCCTCCATCTAGATCCTTCCCGATCCTCGCGCCACGAGCATCTCGCGGACGATTATCGCGTGACGAGATTAGGGGATCCCCCGTTAGCCGTTTACTCAAAACCGTGGTTGCTGGAAAAGAATCTGTTTCGCGTCGATTCGTCCCGTTTTTCGACTTCGGGGGGAGGACGAAAGGATCAAGCCGGGAAGCCGATAACTCGCGCGATAAAGCAGCGACGGGGTGAATAAATAGCAGGCAACCCCGGCACAGTCGCAAGGGAGGACAGCAGGCAACAAATTTCACTGGCGTTTCAACGGCACCGTGCGCTCGTAAATAGACGCAGCCAACGGTCACTGATCCAGGGAAACACGGAGAATCCCCTGGATTCGAAGAACCTGCCATGCCCGCGAGCATACCGCGTTTTTCGCGCGTGAAACTCGAACAAGCGCGATTCCAAGGGACACGCGATGCGACTGCCCTGTTATTATCCCGTACGCTGAGAAAAGAATCCCTCCGAGCAATCTGCCAGATGCATCGCGTTTGGCCAACGCAGAAATCTCCTCTCGCAGGTGCCTCTCGCAGGGGCTCTCTCCGAATACCCCGAATCCACGCGAAATTATCTCCTCCTCTTCAAACCTGGACTCGATTTTTACTATGTCGGAGACACAGTTGGAAAAATTGATCAAATTTGTCGAATTATTTTTATCTTTACTTTTAACGCGTTCCCTGCCAGACCGTTTTTGAAGACTTTCCGTTCAGACCGCGTTGGGCGTATACAGTTGTATTGTTTTGTTTCTGGTTTACAATGATTAAAATAGTGCAAAAATCATAATTATCAAGGAAAGGGTGCATAGTTTAAGATGCATAACGCAACAAATTGATAAATTAATTTTTCGAGGAATTAGTTTAACAAATACCTGGCTGAGCATTACCAAGCGAGTTGCATCCTCGCGTATAATCTTTTCTACCATGCCTGTATTAGTTTAAAATAAAACATTTCAATCGAAATCAAGTTTGTATACAATTACAAAGGGATGTTACGGTGAACTTTGTTAAAACATGGCAAACCTAAGTGTGGTTTATCCACACAACTAGCGCAGAATGTTGCAACTTTTACAGTACAGTTTCTTGCCCATTGGGAACCAAAATTTGTAACATTCTTTTCGTAACAAAATTTGCAGTTGAAACAAGTTGCCGTAAAAAATTGACCCTCAACGCGTCAGCAATAGTATTAAGATGCGCATAATCGACTGCATAATGAATTTTTAAAAAATTCTTCATTTTACAATGATAATACGAAATGGCTTGAACGGAAAGTTCAGCGTGGGTCGCATACGTGTTAAAAGGAAGGAAGATTTTTATTATCGTTTCTGAGTGGTCGGGACGAATATAGGCGTAATTAAAAAGCAGGCACACGGAGAGATAGCGTGACCCTGTTGGAGACGTAATTCCGGAGCTTATCTGCCTCTCGTTATCTTCGTTAACGCGACTTTCAGCGTCCCGATTCGTCTTGGAAGGGGCCCGAAAGTTCCCGGACGTCTCGCTTGGACGATTCTCTTTCGAAACAGCGCCTCGCCAGACACGCTATCGAATCGCTGTAGGCGACCGGCCCACCCCCGATGATCCCCTTTATCGCCCCGAACAGCTCCGCACGGGAAAATTCTATCTCCGTATCCCGTTGCTTAGCCCCTGGATTCGCGCGGAATCCTTTCGAGCTCGTTGCGCTTCGCGGCGCATAGTTTCCCGTTTCTCTATCCTCCTCGCGGCCGCTGTTTGGCAGGAAAAAAATCGCATTTTTATACAGCACCGGGGCCTCGTTAATCTTTTTACAGCGTCCGATTATTCTGCCCGCGGGCGTTTCCAGGCGCGTTGTTCCAGCACTCCTCGCGAGATTGCCTCGGGACGAGATTACCCGGAATCTCGCGAACCAGGCCGGGAAATTCGAAAGGAGACGAGCGAATTTCGTAAATCTGCAGGACCGTAGGCGTTTCCACTCGGGTTCTAGCCCGAGCGAGAAGGACACGGGCGGAATATATCCCTGGAAATTTCCGATATCGTTCTCCAATTCCAGAACGCGTCGCTCAAAGGCAGCGTTTACGGACGACAAACAGGAAGTCGTACAACCGGGATATTTTGTTTGCAAATAATTTTCGCTACGGTTGTTCCATCGATCCCGCGTATCCCCGGCTCCTCTCGATCCTTTATCCGAAACGCGGCCGCGGAACCTCGAGCGAGCCACGCATGGAACGAATGCGGGAATTAAGAGCAATTAACGGGAAGAACCAAGGAACCGACGGTGTTCAACGAGATTCCGCTTCGGATCCGCGTGGAATCGGCGATGTTCAACGAAATTCCGCTTCGGATCCGCGAGCAATCGGTGATATTCAACGAAATTCCGCTTCGGATCCGCGAGGAATCGACGATGCTGATGAGATTCCGCTTCGGATCCGCGTGGAATCGGTGATGTGCAACGAAATTCCGCTTCGGATCCGCGAGCAATCGACGACGCTGATGAGATTTCGCTTCGGATCCGAGAGGAATCGACGATGCTGACGAGATTCCGCTTCGGATCCGCGAGGAATCGGCGATGTTCAACGAAATTCCGCTTCAGATCCGCGTGGAATCGGCGATGTGCAATGAAATTCCGCTTCAAATCTGCGTGGAATCGGCGATGTTCAGCGAAATTCCGCTTCAGATCCGCGTGGAATCGGCGATGTTCAGCGAAAATCCGCTTCGGTTCCGCAAGCAATCGACGATGTTGAATAAAATTTCGCTTGGGATCCGCGAGGAACCAACGGTGTTCAACGAGATTCCGCTTCAGATCCGCGAGGAATCGATGATGTGCAACGAAATTCCGCTTCGGATCCGCGAGAAATTGGCGATGTTCAACGAAATTCCGCTTCGGATCCACGTGGAATCGGCGATGTTGAACGAAATTCCACTTAGG